TCTCAATTTTAGTTCTTGGCGGATTTTAGCAACTTAGCACAAGTCAAGCAATCTTAACACAATTAAAGCAAGCATGCAAAGAGTATATGAGCAGCGGAAAGTAAAGCATGAACTTGCAAGAAAGGAAATGGGAGGAGTTTGCATGGAGCAAACGCAATGTTGACACGGAGATTTTTGGCGTGGTTCCGATAGGTGGTGCTATCGTACATCCACGTTGATGGAGACTTCAACCCACGAAGGGTAACGGTTGCGCGAGTCCACGGAGGGCTCCACCCACGAAGGGTCCACGAAGAAGCAACCTTGTCTATCCCACAATGGCCATCGCCCATGAAGGACTTGCCTCACTAGGGTAGATCTTCACGAAGCAGGCGTTCTCCTTGCCCTTACAAACTCCTTGGTTCAACTCCACAATCTTGACGGAGGCTCCCAAGTGACACCTAACCAATCTAGGAGACACCACTCTCCAAAAGGTAATAGATGGTGTGTTGATGATGAACTCCTTGCTCTTGTGCTTCAAATGATAGTCTCCCCAACACTCAACTCTCTCTCATAGATTTGACTATGGTGGAAAGATGATTTGAGTGGAAAGCAACTTGGGGAAGGCTAGAGATCAATATTCTTGTGGTTGGATTAGAATATCTTGGTCTCAACACATGAGTAGGTGGTTCTCTCTCAAAAAATGAATGCTGGAAGTGTAGGCACGTTCTGATGGCTCTCTCCACGAATGAAGAATGGGTGGAGGCGTATATATAGCCTCCACACAAAATCTAACCGTTATACACAGATTCCCAAACTCGGTGGGACCGAATGGTAAAACAAGGTCAGACCGATCCAGGTCAAATATGAATGTTAGGCTTTTTGGTGGGACTGACACAGTCATCTCGGTGGGACCGATATGTTAGGGTTAGGGCATAACGTAATCTCGGTGTGACCGATTACATAAACTCGTTGGACCGATTTCAGTAATAGGCACATAGAGAGTTGGTCAGGCAAACTCGGTGGGACCAATCCGTTCACTTCGGTGGGACGAAGTGTTACAAAAGGGAAACAGTGAGTTTGCATTGCAGACTCGGTGGGACCGATTCGCTCATCTCGGTTGGACCGAAATGTCACAAAAAGGAAACAATGAGTTTGCAATCCCATCTCGGTGAGACCGAGATCCCTATCGGTGAGACCGAAGTGACTAGGGTTTGTGGCAGTGGCTATGTCAAATGAAACTCGGTGGCGCAGGATAGATCAAATCGGTGGGGCTGAATTTGACTTTTAGGTTTAGGACATATGTAGAAATGAGAAAGTGGTTGAGGGTTTTGGAGCATGTCACTAAGCATTTTGAGCAAGTAAGCCATTAAGCAACACCTCATCCCCTTTTAATAGTATTGACTTTCCTATGGACTCAATGTGATCTTGGATCACTTAAATGAAAAATGTAATGTGTCCTTAGCATTTTGAGGGGTCCACATCTCTAGTCCATGCCATGCCAATCATTGAACTTTTTGAAATGATCATCTTGAAGGAGCATTAGTTCAGTGAACTATATGTTGTTAAGAATTACTAAAACCACCCAGGGACTAGTTGCACTTTCAACCTCCCCCTTTTTGGTAATTGATGACAACATATAGATCAAAGCTTCGACAAATGATAATAAGAATGAAATACATCGTCGCTTTGAGAAGTATGTGATAAGTAAGAGCTACCCCTAAATTTGTGCATTATTTAAAGTTTGCTTTTGAATGCAAATGCACAAATAAATAGGATCATGGGTTACTCTTCCATGTCACATACATCTTGGTGGAGCGCTCAATATGATAGAAAATAAGAACAAGCACTCATCACCAAGGCAAAGTGAATGATCATACAAGAGATAGATAATGTCACCATTCAAGCACATGCATTAAGCATAATATGATCAAGCACATGATCATATAAAGTATCTCACACACACAGACATAAAGTATCTCACACAAGCAAACAAAGCAAATGAGTAGCAAAAAGAAGCAAATCTCTTTCTCTCCGAAGCCTATGTTCTATACACTTTCTCCCCCTTTGGCAACAAGTTACCAAAAAGCTCGAAAATGCATAGTGCTATGCGTCTCTCTAGGCTTGATCTTCAGGAGGAGGTGTTGAGATGACTCCAAGGACAAAAGCATCAGTGGAAGATGTTGGAGCTGGTGGATTTGCCACTTGAGGGGAAACTGGAGCTGTGGGAGCTGTGGCTGCAGGTGCTGAAGCTGTTGCTCTTGTATCTGGCACTGGCACTGCTGCAGACCTCTGTCCTCTAGGCACTTTGTGGAACACCTGTGTAGTTGCTTTCCCTTCCTCTCCTCTGCTTCTTCCTAGAGCTCTTCATCTGCTGTCTGAATTTCAGTCACCTTCAAGTCAAGATCATAGAATTTGGTTTCAATGATCCTCTCCAAGCTCTCCTGGTTCCGAGTCAGGGTGGCCAATCCTTTCTCAATTCTCAAGGTTGCTTGAATCAGATATCCAAGCTGGTCTTGCTTTGACTTGAGGAATACTTTTGAAGCTTCTACAGCACTGGGCATCTTTGTTGCTTTCTCTGCTTTGGCTTTCTGTCTCTTTTCTTGAGCCTCTAGGGATGTTGGATCCTCAGCTTGTCATGACAATAGTGCTGTCCTCAAAGTCTGACTGCAAAGGCAGATGCTCTTTGTCCAACAAGTACACTCCCTTGGGAATCTTGGAATTGATCAGCAACTGTATGTGTAGAGCATACCCACATGACCTCTTCTGGTCAGCAGCTATCCTCTTGATTGTCTCAACAATCAGGCTCATGACTTTGAACTTCTGTGAAAAATCAAACATCTGAAGCAGATTGATGGAATGGCCTCTGATCATCATGTGATCTCCTGATTTGGGCACAAGGTGTGCCTCAATATTGTGTTCATAGTGGCCAGACCAGAAATCAAGTAGTACACTAAC